GGTGGGGGGAGGGGAGGGGGACATAGGTACTGATGAAATCAAGAAGTAAATAAATGAATCAATGAATGAATAATAGATCGGCCAGCTAGTGGCCTCTCGCAGCAGCAATGCAGTATTAATAACTGACTCTTACTTTTCATCTCTGTGTCATCACTCATACTCTTAGGTGGACCATGGCCAGCATAACACACTGCTGATCTGTACATTCGATCCGGATTACGAACTTTCTTCAGTCCTTCAGGGGGCAAAGAGAAAAGTAGAGAAAAATCGAGGAAAAGAAGCATTCTGCCAGCCTGTGATTACTAAGCAAACCCCCCATGCAAGCAGAATCAACAGAAGGTACACAGCATATTGAAACAGAATACACAGGAGTGTTTGGGCAAAAGTGAGATGAGGTTTGAAGTGAAACAAACAAAAAAAAATAATAATAACGATAATAACAATGACAATAAAACACTGAATGAAAAACAAAAACTCTAAGATTTCATCTTAAAATGTTAACGTATCTCAACATTTCAGACCTTAGGCAAAAGGTCAGTAATGGAGGTCAGCGTGTCTATGGTTTACGGTGATACGAGTCAATAATACTCTCCCATTAAATCAGAGTGCATTAATCAATACAGTCAATCGGGAGGCCATGCAAAACAGTTGGTAAAGGTCTATTACAGGCAGTCGTTAAAAGCGTTACGTCTCAGGAAGCACAGACTGGACACAGGGCCCCGTCCAAGTCCGCCTCACTGATTCAAACGAACAGCCGGAGGAGGAGGAGGAGGAGGAGAAGGAGGAGGAGGAGGAGGAGGAGAGAAAGAAGTGTCCCTGAACACGACACGAAAACGTGAGAGCAAGTGAGAAGCCCGAGAATTCATCCTGCTTTACAAAACAGCAGAGAAACATTTATGCCATTGCTGCACAAGCACTTTGTAAGTTAATGGCTCGCCGAGTGCTTACTTGATGTTTTGCTGCCGCTTCAAACTATACTTTGAGTGAAATAGTGAAATAAAACCGTTAAACTTTTCTTTTTTTTTTTTTTTTGAAACACTTTCCTATTGAAAATAAAACAGACATTACAGGTACTTCCTGCAGGGGGGTGAGAGTGTCTGTATTTGGGTTGGGGGGGGTGGCGGCGGCGGCGGCCGGGGGGGCGGGGCGTTCATATTTAACAAATCACCCTTTGGTTTCTTTTGAAATTAATGTTCCAATCAGATTTGGCACCGGGTTTTAATGAGCTGTACCTTCATTATTATTATTATATTTAATTATACAATATCTGCATAGGGGTCAACAGACGGTATTACATCACAGAAGGAAGGTGGCACGGTTTCGGTTTTTTTTTTTAACAAATTTCTTAAACTTCAGTCTCAGATGGAAACTATTTTTTTTTTTTAGTACTATATGTATTTTACATTCACCGTGAGCCAACGCGGTGGAAAAAAACGTACACGTCCATCGCACCACAGGGATGTAAACATTAGACCCATGAGCAAGACAATAATAACAATAATTATTATAATTTAAAGGATTAATTCCTGTGTTAACAGCACATCTGCTGCAACAGGCTGCCTCTTGGAGGCGCCAACTATGTGGTCCCGCTGACAATCGAACCCAGGACTCTCTGCTCTCTAAGGCAGACGTGCTAACCGCTACACTATGGATCCAAGGCCCAGGTTTAATGTAAGAACGTAGCGCAGACTTATTAATGTCCATCATTACAGCTGCCAAAAAACACTAAGAGCTTCAGATCAGCACTGCCTGTGAACCACAAGGACACCGAAGGAAAAAAAAAAAAAAAAATCAAAACATATGGATTACTTCTCTCTGCGGCCCGCCCCGACATCCACAGAAGTGTCATGTAAAAATAAGAAGCGGGGAAGGGGGGGGGGGGGGGGGCAGAAAAATGTGTTTTACTCAATTATGCACAGCTAAAACCCCAAAAAAACATAAAGCTGCCTGCAGACGGAAATATAAAAAAAAAAAAAAGATCTGGCAAGAGAGTTTAATGTAAAAGCTCTGAAGTCCAGGATTGCGAGGCATATTTGCATTTATATTAAGATATGAAGCTCAGGCTTTCTCTTTATGCCCCCCCCCCCCCCTTCCAGCTCCTCCTATTTCCACTGACCGGCCTCACAGGAGCACTGAAAATAACTTAACCTGCACAGCAGTGGGACTTTCAAGTCAGGGCTCTCAGTGAGAGCTCCCTGTTGTCGGACGGCGATGACGACCAACAACTGGAGCCTTACACGACACCAGTCCGGCTCCGTGGATGGATGCGTACGACGACGCGTGCCATAGTGAAGTCATTACTATCATAAAACCAGATGTCTTCATTTTTGTCATAGTCACAGACTGAGCCATCACATAACGAGGGCGGCTTTTGTAGCTCAATAGCATCCCCTGGTGGGACTGGGTTTAGTGGCCTGGCACACTGACATTGAAACAGCTGAATTTTTTTTTTTTAATTTATTTATTTATTTATATTGGAGGGGGTTTTTTTTGTTGATTTTTTTTTGTTGTTGTTTATCTTTCCCTCTCACATGGACACAGGTAATTTGTTTACACAGATTTGAAACATTAAAGTAGCTCGACATCAAAAAGAATTTGTGTTTTGAGGCTACTGACATCTGACTACGACAGAAGTCTGTTCAATTTTCCAGCTCATCACAAAACAAACACCCTGAGCTGCTCACAAACAGCTGGCACAAACGATTTGGTAAAAAAAAAAAAAATCTTTCTTTGTCTGCTAAATTAAGCAGTCAATTTCCAAAAACATTAGTCTTTCTGCTATTCCCAGAAATATCATATAGATATGACAAAAAAGTACGTTGTTGGTTTTTTTTTTTTACAGAAACATGCCTCACTCAATTTAAGTATTTAATTTTTTTTTTTTTAAGTGCAAGATAACAAATTCGCGTTGTTGTTGAGGTCACTTCCTGTTCTTTTAATCGTCTTTTTTATTATTATTCTGTATGTAAACAAATACAGCCTCCTTCACATCCCTCTCTCTCCCTCACATCCACCCCCCAAAAAAAGGGGGGGGGGGGGGAGGAGAGAGAGAGAGATGACATCAGAATGCAGGAGAAAACTAGTCCCCCTTCAGGGCTGATGATGTGCTTCATCCTAACTTCATTTTCTTTACACACGCGGTTTAATTAACTAACCACAAAAAAAAAAAGAAAAAAAATATTCCAGTTCCTGTGCGGGTGACGACGGAGTTCCTGTACATTTGCTTTGCCGTAATATATCCCGCTTAAAAAGGGGGGGGTGAGTGAAGTCTAATGCATTTCATTCGGAGTTAGTGAGCCGTAAGAAATGAGCTGCGGGGATAAAGAACAGAGAGAGAGAGAGAGAGAGAGAGAGAGAGGGAGAGGAGGGGGGGGGTAAAGAAAGTCGTAATTTTGTCTTATGAGTAAAGAGGAGAAATGAGGAGGAATGAGGAGGAGGAGGAGGTGAAAACTCTCCTCTCCACCCTCCGTCCTCCTCCCTGCTCCTCTCCGCTGTGATGGCATCTCATTTCAACTGCGATGGGGCTTTTTTTTTTT